CTTCTGTTGCTTCTGTTGGCTAATAGTGTAGCACAAGTGCATATGTAAGATTATCTTCAGCCAAATCTATCCTTTGTCTAGGGTGTATGTCTGTTCACCTACTCCCACCTGCTCTTCTCACCTGTCTATGTGTTAACCCGTAGCCTAGTATTTGGTGCTAGTGATACTGCAGTGTTGTGCCTGTAATGGCATTTGCCTCTGTTATCTATATCTTTTATGTACATTTCAGTGTCTTTCCTTTCCCCAGGATCACCATGCTGGTCACAGATGCTTTCCATACTGTTTCTCCCCTTGCACAAAACAACATGTGACCCCCAAATAGTCCGAGATTTTTCCTCCCTTTCCCTCATATCCCCGGTAACCAACAAAATTGAGTTTCCTTCCCTGAATAAACTTTCCTTGGCTTTTTACAATAGTGGGCTCCTATAATATTTGTCCTTCTGTGATTAATTTATTTCACTCAGCACAATGTACTCTAAATTCATCCATGTTGCAAGATGATTCGTCTATTCTTCATTGTTCTTTAATGTTGCATAGTATTCCATTGCATACATGTACCATAGTTTGGTTTTCTAATTATCTGCTGATGGGTATTTAGGTTGTTTCCATCTGTTTGCTATAGAGAATTGTGCTGCAATGAACATGGGTGTGCATATGTCTGCTCGTGTTCTGTCTCTCACCTCTTTAGAATATATTTCTAGTAACAGAATTGCTGGATCAAACGGTATTTCTATTTTCAGTTTTTTAAGGAAACACCATACCATTTTCCACAGTGGTTGCACCATTTTGCAGTCCCACAAGCAGTATATGAGAGTTCCAATCTCTCCACAGCCTCACCAGCATTTGTTATTTTCTGTCTTGTGGAACTTTGTGTAGCTTTGTAGTAAGTTTTGATATCAGAAGTGTAAGTCCTCCAACTTTGTTCTCTTTTTTTTTTTTTCTTTTCCCAAGATTATTTTGGCTATTCGGGGTCCCTTTGCAATTCTATATGAATTTTTTTTAATTGGACACTTAAAATTAGTGCATTTTACTGTATGTAAATTATCTGAATTTTAAGACCAGCTTTCCCATTTCTACAAAAAAAGGCCAGTGGAATTTGGAAACAATTACATTGAACCCATGGATCAATTTGGGAGTATTGTCATTTTAACAATATTAAGTCTTCCAGAGGATGTCTTCCCATTCATTTAGATCTCCTTTAGTTTCTTTGAACAAAGTTTTATAATTTTCAGTGTATACCTCTTGCCCTTCCTTGGCTAAATGTATTCCTAAGTACTCACTATTTTTGATGCTACTGTAAATAGAATTACCTCCTTAATTTCCTTGTTGGTTTTTCATTACTGTTGGTGGTGGTGGCGTTGTATGCTGTTGAGTTGATTCCAACTCATAGCAAACCCATGTGACAGAACAGAGCTGCCCCCATAGGGTTTCCTAGGCTTTAATCTTTATGAGAACTGATCACTAGGAGGTGTTGGGTGGGTTTGAACCGCCAACCTTTTGGTTAGCAGCCAGCACTTAAACCATTGTGCCACCAGGGCTGTTTTGTTCCTTACTAGTGTATATAAACACAACTGATTTTTTTATGTTGAATCATATACCCTGTGACTTGCTGAATTCATTTATTAGGTTTTTCTATCTATAAAATCATTCCATCTGCGAATAAAGATAGCTCTACTTCTTCCTTTCCAGCATGGATGCCTTTTATTTCTTTTTCTTGCCTAATTTTGCTGCCTAGAACTTCCAGAACAATGATGAATCAAAGTGAGGAAGCTGAGCTCCTTGCCTTGTTCCTGACCTCAGGGTGAAGGTGTTCAATCTTTCCTCAAGGATCATGTTAGCTGTGAGTTTTCACAGAAGGCCTTCATCAGCTTGTGGGGATTACCTTCTCTTCCTAGTTTGTTGAGTGCTTGTATCAAAAGGTGTGTTGAATTTTGTCCAGTGCTCCTTCTGCAACTATGGAAATGGTGGTTTTCATCCCTCTTCATTCTGCTGGTATGAAGTAGTACATTAATGGATTGCTGGATTCAATTTGTTAGTATTTTGTTGAAGACCTTTGTGTCTGTATTTGTAAGAGAGATTGGTCTGTGGGGTTTTGTGTGATATCTTTGTGTGCTGCTGGTCTTGTATACTGAGGTGAGAAGTTTTCCCTCCTCTTCTATTTTTTGGAAGCGTTTGTGAAGAATTAGCACTAATCTTCAAATGTTCGACAGATTCACCAGGGAAGCCATCGGGTGCTTCATGTTCTTTTGACTTAGATGTATTTGCCATTGCCTACCAGTGTGGTTCTGAGGTATCCTAAATGTTTACTATTCCAAAGACTTAGCCATTCTTATAAGGCCGCCTGCCTCCTCTGAACCAGCTGTTGTTGTTGGCTGTTGTCGAGTCAGCTCCTGACTTGTAACAACCCTGGGCACAACAGAATGAAATGCTCCTGTCCTCACGATCAGACCACTGTGATCCCTAGGGTTCTCACTGGCCGACTTTCCGAATTAGGTCACCAGGCCTTTCTCCCTGTCTTAGTTGGGAAGCTCTGCTGAAACCTGTTCAGCATCAGAGCAACACTCAAGCCTCCACTGACAGACAGCTGGTGGCTGCGGGTTAGGGGTTGGCCAGCAACTGAACCTGATTTTTCAGTGTGCAAAGTGAGACTGTTACCACGGAACCCCCAATGCCTCCCTCGGAATCTAGAAGACAGTAAGTTCAGATTTCTGGGGATCTTCCGTTTCTTGGTGACCCAAGTAAAAATGCACCAATATTTTGTTTTCCCCTCTTAACCCTGCTATGCTCTGTGTCACCTTTCCTTCCTATAGCAATCAACGCCTGTGAGATCAGCAATGGCGGCTGTTCTGCCAAGGCTTACTGTAAAATAACCACCCCAGGAAGTCGGCTCTGCGTGTGCAAGGAAGGCTATGCTGGCGATGGCATTGTATGCCTAGGTGGGTGCCCAGCTCTCATCTGCCCAGTGGCAACAGGTCAAGGGTCAGAGTGCTGCTGAATGACTCCAACATGTGAGCTCTTATGATCTGACTATAACTTTCAGTTAGTCAGCGCCAGGAAGATAGGAGGGTGTGGAAATGTGATGCAAGCCTATAACGGTGTGTGAGACCCAAAAATCACTTGGGAGGAAATAAGTGTGGGAGACTCTTTCCAGTTAAATATTATGGAAGTGACTGAGTTTGTCAAGTTTCATTAGTTCTTTTTTTTATACAAGTAGCAAATTCTCACTATAGACAAATCAGGGACTGTGTATATGCTGAGGGGAATATTCTGAAAATATCCACTGTTACTATTGTTGCATCACCCTATTTTGCTATGCGTGTATTTTCTTAACCAAAAATGGCATTTGCTGATGAATAGTGTTTAGAATGCTTAGCAATATAATAGGAGCAGCTTTCCCTGAAAATAAGTATATTTGTAATGGCTACACATTATACTGCTGTAAAGGTATACCATAGTAAGTTGCCTATTTTGTTGGAAAAAATTTACACAGAAAAATTGAAAAACTAGTACAAAGATGACCTATATGTCCTTTATCTAGATTCAACTGTTGTAACATTTTGCCCTATTTGCTTTATTATTTGTGTATGTGTGCATATACAACTGGTGTTTGTATGTTGATTTTACATCCTTTGACTTGATGAAACCATTTATTAAGTACATAATATAGGTGCCTCTATCCCCATGTTGTTCAAAGGTCAACTCTCTCTATATATATGTTGTTGTTATGTGCCGTCGAGTCAGCCCCGACTCATAGTGACCCCTCCTTGGGTTTCCGAGGCAGTATCACTACGGAAGTAGGATATAAATTTCAGGCTAAGCTGTATCTATATGAATATGTATTTCCTAAGGATAAAGATGGGAGCTCTGGTAGCATGGTGCCTAAGTCACTTGACTGCTAACCAGAAGGCTGGTGGTTCAAACCCACTAGCCACTCCTTGGAAGGAAGGTTGGGAAATACCGCCTCGGAAATCCAAGGAGGGGTCGCTATGGGTTGGGTCCAACTCGACGGCAC